TATAAATAAATGAATAAAGAAATTGTGTAATAAAATGCTTCTGACGGGAATCGAACATTCAACCTCTCGCTGGCAAGCGTCATAACCATTAGACCACAGAGGCTTCATGGTTGAACAGATTAAATTACTGCCAGATACACTATTACACAATAGGTACGTACGGCTGGAAACAAATAATTGCATAAAATATAATTCAAGATAGCCGTTAACACTGTTAAATTATACATAAATCATAAATCATCATCAAAGAAAGGTAAATACAGTGTTCGAATAAAGGACATAATAATATATCGTGTGGCATAGCGCCTAAACAAATGTAGTCCTATAAATAAATGATTAAAGAAATTGTGTAATAAAATGCCTGACGGGATTCAAACCTGTGACCTCTCGCTGTCAAGGCGAGTGTTATAACCATTAGACCACAAAGGCTTCATGGTTGAACAGATTCAAATTACCGCCAGATACACTATTACACAATAGGTACGTACGGCTGGAAACAAATAATTTCATATGCCGTTAACGCTATTAAATTATACATCAATTATCATCAAAGAAAGGTAACAGTGTTCAAATGATGGACATAATAATACATCGTGTAGCATAGCTCTTAATGAAAATGTAGTCCTATAAATAAATGAATAAAGAAATAAAATGTATTTACATTTCTTTGATGATCATTTATATATATATATATATATATATATATATAAATTATATATATATATATATATTAATTTCTAATAAGGCAGATTACAACCGTTTTATTTATTTGTTTATTTTATTTTGCCACTTTGCCTATGCAGCTTTATTAATTTTATATAATAATTTATATACTTGACAAAAATCAGGTTTCGCAAATAGTCTAGTACTGTAATGTATAATAAACAAAAGTTAGGCCTGTACATGTAAAAAAGTCTTAATTACCTTTTAAAAGTATAGATACAAATAAAGTTTGCACAAACATATTTATGCCTAACTCATTTACATCACAAAACAAGCTGCTGAACTAAGCCGCTGAAAAAATGGGTCAGTTGACGTTGAACCTGCTTGAAAGTAGCCTAAAAAATGTATAATTATCTCTACGTGAAGCCTAATATAATAAGGTTATATTATCTCGCGTCAAGTGAATTGTTTGCTCATAGAATGTTGCAGAGTTGAGCATCTTGCAACAATCAATGATTTTTTATATGAAACCTATGAACGACATGTTTCAACATGTCCCACGTCATCATCAGGTAATGACACTTATGCTACTAACGGTTTAAATACTACCGGTCAGATGTAAGAAGAACAAGCAAATATTAAGCTAAGTCATGTATATAATTTTTATTGTTACTGTTAGCTAATATGTCTATCGTGTGTTTTCTTGTTTAATATTTTTTGTCCATATTTCAAATATATTAATTTCTGACCAACGGACCTTCAGACCATTGGCCCTTCAGATCAATGACCCTTTGGACCAAAGGACCTTCGGAGCAATGCACTGACCCCCAGCATTTCATATAAATTTGTACTCATCCTTTAGGAGTTGGCATGGAGATTGCCAAAACCCTGGAAGGGAGGATCATGTTATTTGATGGTGGGATGGGAACAATGATCCAGAAACTGAAGTATGATGAAGATGAGTTCCGTGGAGAAGAGTTTAAAAACCATTCAAAGTCATTGAAAGGTAACAATGACCTTCTGACCATTACACAACCTGATGCCATCTTCAAAATTCACAAGGTATGATAATGTGTAAAATGCTCTGAACCTAACATCATTATTTTATTATTATTGTTGTCTTACTGTAGTTGTCAACGTTGTTACTTAATAATTTGATAATAATAATAATAATAATAACAACAAAAATTTATGTAGCGTCAATTTCAACTATACCAAAGTTAAAATCAAAGGCGCTTAACATTTAGATGGTAAAAAGGTGCATCTTAAGTTTAAACTTAAAAACAACTGATGGGGATTCGATAATATGTTTGGGCAATGAATTTCAAAGGGATGCAGCAGAAAAGGAATATGATCTATAATAAAATGCTTTGGTGTTAATTCGAGGAACAACTAAAAAATTTTTATCTGAGGAACGGAGGCAAGTAGGTGGACATAAGCATGAATGAGATCAACAAGGTAAATAGGTTGTTTGTGAAAAAGTGCTTTGAACGTTACTAACAGGATTTTATATTTGATACGAGATTCAATACAAAGCCAATGTAAACCATAAAGGACCGGTGGTACAGTATGTGAGGTCTAGAAGTAAGTGTTAGAATACGTGCAGCAGAATTTTGGAGACGTTGAATGTGATTTATCGCAGTTTTTGATATTGAGTAGAAAAGTGCAATAATCAAGATGGAACGTGACAATGCATTTATTAATATGGCAGTTGTGTGTTTTGAAATATATTTTCTGATGCTAGCGATATTACGTAGGCGAAAGTTAGTAGTTTTAGTAATGTGACTTATATGGTTATTAAAAGAAAAAAATTTATCAAAGTAAACACCAAGGTTTTTAACAGAATGTGAAGGAAATATAGTGCAAGAATTAAAGGAAAGTGAAGAAATATTAATTTTAGATCGAAGGTGTTTAGTGCAGTAAATTATGAATTCAGTTTTAGTATGGTTAAGCCGTAGCATGTTGTGAGAAAGCGAGGATGATATTTTACAAATTTCATGTGATTCTGAGGGATTAAAATCAATATAAATTTGTAAGTCCTCAGCGTATAAATGATATTGAAAATTAAGATTTTTTTATTATATCAGTATAAGGGAGAATAGATACAGGGAAAAAAGAAGGGAACCCAGAATGGATCCTTGCAGAACACCGCATTCAAGACATTTTGGGGCAGATTTAATCTTACTTATCTCTACAAACTGGGTCCGTCCAACAATAGGATTTAAACCTCAACAAAATCAGAAATTTTGGTTGCTATGTTGCGAACCAATCATGCATTAAAAAAACAAAAAGAAACATTGACCATATTCCTGATTTATATTCTTTGAAAGTTCCAGGTGATCCATAATTTTTTGGACCCTTCTACCTGCCCTTCGACCTCTTCGTGTTTTTTTCCTTATTCCTAGGCTAGAATAGTAATCAAGTACATCTTGTCCAGAAGAAATATGACAGACTGGTCGCAACCGTGTCAATTATATGACAGAGTACGAAAAGGAATGATGAATAACAACAGTAGTATCAATACTGAGTACGTCTTTGGTTGACAGTGATATAATAATCTTAGTAATCACCAAAAAGTAGCATTATTTCCAGTTTTAGAATAAATCTTAAGAGCAAAAAAAGTGGTTCGCTACTAATCTATCGCACTCACTAGAACTTCATGAGTATTGGAAAAGTAGCAAAATATCTGACATTGAATGTTGCTATGTTTTGGATGAACAGTGTTTTTTCTTGTGGTTTTGAACGTGTCATGTGGGGTGGCGTTTGTATAGTGCCAAAGAAAGATGCTATAATTGAATAGACCGAATCGGCGACTCCAGCTATTACTGGTCACGTGACATATAGTGGATACTAAATGTAAACATCCACATCGTAAACCACAGTGCACTCATTGAACACAGTATATTGAGAGAGTTTTTATGATGTTTTTTAGAAAGCGACCTATAGTAAAGTAAGGCATTAGGCCTATGTTTTCTTTTAAATAGTGATTTATTATTACTTTGTCAATCTCCGTGCATTTTATTTAGGCTCTGGAATGCTGCTATTGTACGGTAGGCTACATATAGGTATAGGCCTAGGGGCTGCACTGTGAGTGTTAAGCCTTGACTAGGGCCCGGAGCGGGGAGGGAGTTGTTATGCCTCGACTGTCTTTGTAGTCGAGTACTGTAGGTAATAAAATAGAAAATAACCCTTAACGGTACTGGTTGTTCAACCAAACTTGTGAAACAGGTTGGTGATAAAATAGGTCCATGGTTGGTATGGTACATCCTAATGCCAGTACGTACAGTATGTCATATGATGATCATTATCCACATCAGTAACTGTAAACATCCTACGATTTAATTTTGGATTTAAAATAACTGTAAAATAATACTCTTGTAACGAATGGGAAAATTCGTTTTTTGTTTTGTTTTGTATTTTTTTTTTTGTTCATGCTTCGATAGCATTTGCCATGAATAATATTCTTGACTTAGGCCTAGACATAAAAATACCACAGCAGCCGGTGATGACTCACAAGAGCAATATGCACGTCGTGAAGGTACCGTACCTTTCCTTGAAAAACTTTCAGGCTTTATTCCCACTATCCATTGGAGCCTTAACAAACCAAACTGATAAGTGTTTGAAAATTTAATTTTGGAACACTTCTAAGTATTTACCAAATTATAACTCGCATTCCAACCAACATTTGCAACATCTATGATGTGACTTACATCAACAACAAGGCGAAGCCATATTTGATGCACTGTTCATCTCGCGATCTCGATAAATGTAAACAAAAAAATAATACCCACTATAAGTCACATGACCCGAGCCGCCAATTCAGTCTGTTGTTGGGTTTACTTACACCAGCGGGAAAGTTATTGTTTTTTTAAGATTTTTTTTCTGCTTTTCTCTCCTGTTTTCTTAAATTTTTGCACAGGCTTTTTCTGTTCCTATTTGGTCATTTCTCCTGCTTGAATCTTTTTCAAACAAGCAAGAACCATGTCAAAGATGTCCATATTGAAAAGTGAAGTCATCCAACTTTTTATGTCAAATTGTTTTCATGTTTGTTTTTTTTTTGTGTTCATAATTTTCTTATGATTATTTTTGAGATTTTTTATGTATTTTTCACTTAATAATTTGTTAATGATTTTTCCTTTTTCTACTTTATGAGTTCACACTATAGAAGTGTGGAGAAAGCTGATGTTGTGTTTTACAGACAGACAGTAAGTGTAGTTATTATTGTGTTTATTGCAGGATTATTTATTAGCTGGAGCAGATTTTGTTGAAACAAATACATTTAGTGGAACAAGAGTAGCCCAAGCAGATTATGGCTTGCAACATATAGTAAGTTCTTGTTTTTTTTTTTGGTTTTTTTTTCATTTCATCTGACCTCTAAAATTAATTTCTATTGCAAGTTGAATATTAATCTTATTTCAAACAAAAATTGAGGAAAATGAACAAATGCCTTTACTAATTAACATTTCACAATAAACTAAATGTCTTTCTACCTAGGTCTACAGATTAAATAAAGAATCAGCAGAATTAGCTAAAAAAGCAGCTAAGGAGGTCATGCAAGAGACAGGTGTCCGTCGCTACGTTGCAGGAGCTCTAGGTCCAACAAATCGCACATTATCCATATCGCCATCTGTTGAACTACCAGAATTCAGAAACATCAGTATGACTATAAATATGTTTATATGTTATATTATGCTAATCTATCAAATACATCTAGATATAGTAAATTATAATTTTAAATGTTTTGCTAGATTTTTATAATGTATTTTTGGGAAATCCTCATCCAATTGGAAAATAAATTAATAGTGATTTGCTAATCCAAGTGCAGTCTTTTGAAAGCACCATCTTAAAACAAAATATTCTTTTGGCCACCACCAGGGATTTTACTTTGAATGTATGCAGGGCCCTAAGCAGCCTTTGTTAAAAATTTGTCACTGCAGAGGAGAGTCACTTAAATAGTGTTTTAGTTCACTATTGACTAGAAGAACACCCAAAATCCATGTTTCTGTTAATATTTTTCCTTTTTCTGTATATTTTTATATAAAACTTTACATGAACACCGGTTGACAACTGAAAATCTATGTATTTTATTTAATTCATTCAGCATTTTAATTGACATTACTTAAATGTATTGATTGATTACAGCTTTTGATGAACTAGTAGAGGCCTATATAGAGCAAGCCAAGGGACTACTTGATGGTGGTGCTGATGTTTTGATTGTGGAAACTATATTTGACACCCTCAATGCAAAGGCTGCCCTCTATGGTATTCAGCTCATTTTTGAAACTGAATACGAGCCAGTTCCTGTATTTGTAAGTGAACAACTTTAGTACATCTATTATATTAATGTTAGGAAGTGGTGCAATGTAGCAATAAGGACTAGTTAACTGCATTGTTGGTTGGCCAGCTTAGTTCCGATAGAGGGAGTAGTTTGCTTTAGAGCATAACAGGACCTAACAAAATCGAATCTAATTGAATCAGTGTATAAGAATATGGACACTGGCGTTTAGCGCATCAGAAATGAGGTCTGAATTTTGGTTCAGATCTGATGTGAATGCAGCTTAAGTGAACATGACATTTTTAGCAAATTTGCAACATGGGTCTTGAGGCCACCATATACCTACTCCTTTTTTATGATTTTTTGTTTTTGTTTTTTTGCTTAAACATCAATGAATAATTTGCATACTTTGTTGTCTTGCTTCAGGTTTCTGGTACTATAGTTGACAAAAGTGGTAGAACCCTATCTGGCCAAACCGGCGAGGCCTTCATTATTAGTGTTTCTCACGTAAAGCCAATGTGCCTCGGCCTCAACTGTGCCCTTGGTGCCACCGAAATGAGACCCTTTATAGAAGCCATTGGAAACTTTACACCAGCCTATGTTATATGCTATCCTAATGCAGGTAAGGTTCTGCCTTAATGAGCAGTTTCAAAATATGTGACAGATTTTTAGATTTTTTTTAATTTTTTTTTATTTGCATCTGTCATTTATGCATTTACCTCTGTGTACAGGTTTACCAAACACTTTTGGAGATTACGATGAAACCCCTGAGATGATGTCTGCTCATCTTGCTGAATTTGCGAAAGACGGTCTGTTGAATATAGTGGGAGGTTGTTGTGGTACAACGCCGGAACACATCAAGGCAATCAAGGAAGCTGTTAGCATCTATAAGCCAAGGGTTCCTCCTAAGACTATTCATCCTGAAGCCTTGTTAACATCAGGTAAATAGGAGGATGATAGTAGTGGTGATGGTAAAAGTGATGCTAGTAGAGAAGGTAGTGGTGCAACAGTGGTGAGGATAAGTCATAAAAAAATGTATTACTCAACGACTGACATTTTAGTTGGTGTTTATTGGCAACCATACCTAATTCGTGCATTTTGATGATAATGGTAAAGATGGTGAAGTTATGGTGAAGATGATAATAATATGTTAGGATAATTTTGGTGGTGATGATGAGGATAATTACAGTATATCGTTGATGTTGGTAATGAAATGATAGTTGTGTGGTGATGATGTAGTGATATTGATGATGGTAAGGATGATAATAATGGTGATGATGGTGAGGATGATGTTTATTATTTATTTATTTCTTCTTTAACCTGGGTGGCCTGTTCAGTGTTGAACACTGCTCTCCCACAGGGCCCAGGATCAACAATAAAACTACCAACAGTTAAAAATTTAAAATAGCCTATAAAAAAATGTTGGTGGTGCTGGCAGTGTTAAAGATGATTGTGAGAAGAAGGACCCTATTCTTATCAAAAGCATTCATTTAACCTTCTTTTATGTAGGCCTTGAGCCCATGATAATGGAGAAGCATCTTTTGTTTGTCAACATTGGTGAAAGGTGCAATGTAGCAGGTTCCCGGAGGTTTGCTAAGCTCATCGCTAATAATAAATATGAGGTAATAATCATGTTTTTATTGTCACAGAAAATATTCCACAATGAAACAAACATCGAATATCGGGATTCAGTATTCCAACATTAACAAGATTTGAACTTGTCACTGAGGACGAGTTTGGTGATCCGCCGCACTTCAACCCTCAGGAAGCGCGAGCGGTGTGGATTGAAATGTTAGTTTTTAAAAAAGTGTAATTTTAAACATTTGAAATGATTTACACATCAGGAATTCTAATGATTATTTAATGTCAAAATATTGAATTCCCACACGATGGCATGCATTTCGATACTTGGAGTATGTAGTATACTATCTTATCTGATATTATTCACCAGACCTTTCTGTTTTTGAAACAAACATTATTGAAGAAAATGTTTAGAATGAAATCTTTGGAATGTA